ATTACTTCAGCTTCATCAAATGCTAAACGAAAGCGCTCTGAATCGAAATTATTAAATCTTAATCAACAATATAGTAACAGAACATTCTCGTCATTTACACTAGCAGAGCAAGAAGAACTTCGACGCAAGGCTTTACGTATTCACGACGGAGCCACATTTCAGAGGTTTTGTTTATTGTAGTAAACATGTAATTCTATTTTTTACAACAATGCCAGAAAACTTTCTTTGTTCAGCTTTGACGAATTTTACGAATGTTTCGAAGTTTACATGATCGTATGGAATTACCCGTATAGGGTAGGTAGTTCCGAGTTTCTTCGAGATGGTAAAGGGCAAGTGATCAGTCGCTTTAAATATAAATATGTAGTGTATCATTGTGCTCATTATGGGGCACCACGTAAAAGAGGTAACATTTTTGTTAAAAGAATTCATCATTTTTTATCATTTCAGGATAACTTCCATAAGTTTCTCAAAAATAAGATGCAAATGTTTCCTTATTTATATTCACTTGCGCTATTTAATTATAAGTAAGGTAGAAGTTTAAGCGATACTCATCGCAATTATTTTACTAACTGTTAAAACTTGTCTTAATGGATCAAAGCAAAAATTTCGCTGTTTCATTCCTTCAGGAAAAGGTGAACGTATAAAACAAAATTATCTTCCACTGGGTTGCAAAGCCAGATTTCGTTTGAATGCTGACACAACCAACGGTTGTCTTCGAATTTCATCTTTCCACGAAGAGCACACTAATCACGAATGCACTGAGGAGGATTATTTGCGTATTACAAACAGGAAGAGACGAAATCTAACTGGTCAGTTAATAGATTCCCAAATGCGTCTATCCTTCACTTTATTTTCAGTTATAGAAATGATTATTAATTATAGAAATTTCAGGTGGTATTGCATCGAAGAAAATGAAAGAAGAAAAAATGAGAGAAACAGGTAACTTCTATTACTCTTTTCTGTTATATGTCAACAAACAATACGGTAATAGGAGGAACAAAGCTATTTTAGGAGAAACAAAGTCGAAAAGCAAATCACCACAGCTAACTGAGCGTACAAATGTTTCCGATGTTGCGGAAGATAATTCTGCATCCGTTATTTCACCAGCAGAAAATCTCAGTCCTACCAATTTATTAGAAAGAAACTATGGCGCCATTATTTCATCCCAAGAAAACTCTGCTTTTGTTCCGGTTACTCGTTCCGCAGAAGTAAGCAACAACTTTATATCAAAAAAAGTTTATGAAAGATGGAAGAACATAAGAGTAAAATTGACATTTTCAGATGACAGAACACGTTGATGGAATACAACAAATGTCATTGCAGAATTTGCTTCCAACAGATTCCGTCCGGAAGCAATTATTCGCAAATTGCTTAATGGATCGGTTGCAGAGAATAGAATATTTGATTATGAACGGTTCGTCTTCCAAGTCGTAGGCATGAATCTCTTTCGATAAACTTAAGCGCTCAACTAATTGAAGTTTGTGTTGACAGGCAATATTGGAGCTACGCAAAAAAATTTACGATTTGGATTGCAAATTTTTGCTCCACATAGGAAAATCTGTTCTGTGAAATTTCATTAGATAAAAAATACTTGAACTATTTTTAATAAGAATCCGATTTAGCTTACATCATCAAATGTGGAGGATGTCTACCGCAGGAAGTATACTTACCGTTCATCTGTGGAGTATATGGCGCTGATTTTTATCTCTCGGAATGGTCGAATGTGCAACTAAGAGACGTTATGATAGTGCTTCTGCAGCCACCAGAAATACTGCTTCAAGGCAATTTACCCACCGATATTTCAATTGATGAAGTGAAACAGGTTCGACCACCTGGTATTCATCGTGCGATCACAGCTATTAGAGAGGAAAAACTAAAGGTATGGGTAAAAATTAATATTTAACCCAATTTGTGATAGTACGAATCTATCGTCGTGTTCTGAGCATTGGTAACATGTTTCCCACCTTCTTCATCTTTCATATATTCACACATTTATTTAGCAATCCTTTGCAGAGATGCGACAGTATTTTTGCTCGATTTGTCCAGCATATTTTCAATGCCATCTCTCGACCTGAATTCGTAGTGGCTGTTCGTGAATTCAAAAAATTTGCTGATGACGTAAGAAATATGAATGTTGACAGTATCGAATCATGTAACAGAAATATGTCGTGAAACTGCTTACACAGATGAAAGGATTCTTGTGCCCTTGAACGAGATGGAAATTACAGTTTCTGTTGATATATCATTTGTACAAAAATGTTGAGTGGATTTTCCTTATTTTCAACTGGATCTCTGCTATTTTCTTATTTCTTCTCACTTTTTTTTTCATGTCTCAGATTTTGCTTTAACATTTTATTTGCAGTGACATAAGCTTCTTTGGTAGCTAAAAAGTAACTGTGCTTGGTTTCCTCTGTTGTTCAATGTGTTCTCACTTTGCTAATAACATTATTAAAATGCTATTTTTTTTGTCTGCCTTGCTTTATGCTGGAAATATAAATATTTTTATTATAAAAACGACTAGCGCCTACAAGTTTGAAATTTCCCTTCATAACAATTTCCTTCGTAATTTTTAAGACAAAAATTCCGCTTTCTTCTTTATGTCAAAGTTCCCACGAAGTTATATTCCCACTGTGACTAGTCGTTCTCCTATTTTCTCAGCCATGATGGTTCTTTCTACCATATTTCTTACAATTTGGTTGGCGAGTCCTTTTGTTGCAGCATCGGCTGAATTACGTTTATTTGGGATATAACAAAACAAGAATTTTGCTTTTTTTGGCAATAGTTGAAAACGGTTCTGGATCCAATGTTATACATCTTTAGATTCCAACCATAACCATAATGAAACAATGTGCATTTTCGAGTTCAAACTGATTTAATACAAATTGGGTAGCTCATATTAATTCCAGTTGGTGTATAATGACACCTTTAACTGATACGATTTGAGATATTAGCAAATACCAAGAATGTTTTAATTCCTTGAGTGTTTATATATTGCTGCCATGCTTGATGCATCTGTGAAGACATGAAGTTGTGTTTACTCTGAAAAGGGTGTGTCACAAATCTTGGTAGCTCCTTTATATCTACTGAACCATTCTCTTATTAGAGACCCATTCTCACTACCGTATCTTGGTGACTGAATTTGCTTTGGAAAGGCTAGAAAATAACTGTTAAAAAACGCAGATGAACCAGTTATCAAAGACAACATATCAAGCATGACCTATTCTGCAGCGATATATCTTTAATATAGAAAGAAAAAAAAAAAGGTTTCAGCGATCAACTGGAAACTTATTGGAAAAGATTGAAAAAGCCAGATTTGTGTTTAGGGTTTTATGACAAATATTTTATATCTGATTAATTCAGTTCAAATTGGTTCCCAAGTTGCAGTTTTATAAACACTCATAAAATTATTTTTTAGTTTAAATTTTATACACTTTAGCTACCGAAAGTTTTGAATTGCTTTATCAGGAGGAGATCTAACATTATTTATAAGAGAAAAACGTAACAATGAGTATCGATTTTCTTTGAATAGTCATGTGAAGGAAGTACTTTCGTATATCTATAAACAATTTTTTTCTGGTATTAGACATATTTAGTGCAGTTGTATGCAATTTTTAAATTTCGATTATTAATTTGATAGCAGTTCGAAAAACAGTCACTCAGAATATTTCTACAACTGCACTAAGATAATAGCGAACAATGAGCAACATAAAAATATTAAACACAAGAATACAGATTAAAGCAAGAATACAGTACACATTCATACACATTCATTCCTTTTTACCCGAAGAAACTCCACAGGGGGTGATGATCTATTTCGTTTCTTTTCACATCTAAACAATTTATAGGCAAGCCTCAAAATTTTGCATGACTTTCAAAAATTGACTGATTCAAAAATTTCAAATCAAGATTTAAGATCGCAGTTTTGTTACATTATGATTATTAAAAAACAAAAAATTATCCACATTTTACAATCAATCAAATTATTAGTGATGGGATCCACATAAAAAAAGAAAATCTGTTCATAACTTGCAAAGACTTACAAATGATTTGGCAATATTGAATGCGCAAAACTACTATTTTGTGATATAAAGTCAGAAATTTAGCAATTACACGAGAATTAAGGAAATGTTGCCTTAAGTGAACAATGCTCATTCAATCTTAGCAGATGAGAGCAATGAAAGAATTTCGGTTTCGACATTTCCAACAATTCAAATCATCTTTTGGAAAGATCAATTAAATAGTAAAGCACAGTTTCAATTTTTTAAAGCCTTAGCATTGGTCTGTTAACGGGCCAAGATATTTTAAGCATTTCGAGTTATCTTCAAGCAAAAAGCAATTGATTCGTGTTAAAAATTTAATACAAAAATTTGCTGCAACTTATTAGGTAAATATAATTCTTTGAAAAAATTATAAAAGAATTATTCCCAAAATCAGGCTAGACATATTTTAGACATACATTCAAGTGCTATTCCTATTGCATTCAAATAAATATTATAATGAGGTACAACTGATAATATACAATAATGAACATTTCAGTACTTCTTTAGTCATTCCTGCGTGTTACTCTATTCATTACATGCACACCTATTCTCAAACTGTCATAGAAACTGCCGCAAACTTATCTATATTATTTAGTTGTTACAATAGTCTTCATTTGTTATCCTGTGAAAAAATTTAATTCTGTGAGAAAACATCAAAATAACAAAAATCCCTTTCAAAGTGAGAAAGATCCATTCAAAATCTCTATACAAATAAATGCGATTGGTAACAGAAATCTTTTCGAAAAAATATACATAATTTTTATGTTCCTAACAAAAAAAAAAAATAATTTTCAGCTCACACAAAGGTATAAGAAAGATATAAGGTATATGTATATAAGGATATAAAGGGTAGGAATTGGCTCATCTGGATAAGCAGTATCAGTGATACGGTATTCGTTCTACCTCAGCATCGCAACATATTGATGTCATGTGACTTGATACTGTCAACATTCATATTTCTTACGTCATCAGCAAATTTTTGAATTCACGAACAGCCACTACGAATTCAGGTCGAGAGATGGCATTGAAAATATGCTGGACAAATCGAGCAAAAATACTGTCGCATCTCTGCAAAGGATTGCTAAATAAATGTGTGAATATATGAAAGATGAAGAAGGTGGGAAACATGTTACCAATGCTCAGAACACGACGATAGATTCGTACTATCACAAATTGGGTTAAATATTAATTTTTACCCATACCTTTAGTTTTTCCTCTCTAATAGCTGTGATCGCACGATGAATACCAGGTGGTCGAACCTGTTTCACTTCATCAATTGAAATATCGGTGGGTAAATTGCCTTGAAGCAGTATTTCTGGTGGCTGCAGAAGCACTATCATAACGTCTCTTAGTTGCACATTCGACCATTCCGAGAGATAAAAATCAGCGCCATATACTCCACAGATGAACGGTAAGTATACTTCCTGCGGTAGACATCCTCCACATTTGATGATGTAAGCTAAATCGGATTCTTATTAAAAATAGTTCAAGTATTTTTTATCTAATGAAATTTCACAGAACAGATTTTCCTATGTGGAGCAAAAATTTGCAATCCAAATCGTAAATTTTTTTGCGTAGCTCCAATATTGCCTGTCAACACAAACTTCAATTAGTTGAGCGCTTAAGTTTATCGAAAGAGATTCATGCCTACGACTTGGAAGACGAACCGTTCATAATCAAATATTCTATTCTCTGCAACCGATCCATTAAGCAATTTGCGAATAATTGCTTCCGGACGGAATCTGTTGGAAGCAAATTCTGCAATGACATTTGTTGTATTCCATCAACGTGTTCTGTCATCTGAAAATGTCAATTTTACTCTTATGTTCTTCCATCTTTCATAAACTTTTTTGATATAAAGTTGTTGCTTACTTCTGCGGAACGAGTAACCGGAACAAAAGCAGAGTTTTCTTGGGATGAAATAATGGCGCCATAGTTTCTTTCTAATAAATTGGTAGGACTGAGATTTTCTGCTGGTGAAATAACGGATGCAGAATTATCTTCCGCAACATCGGAAACATTTGTACGCTCAGTTAGCTGTGGTGATTTGCTTTTCGACTTTGTTTCTCCTAAAATAGCTTTGTTCCTCCTATTACCGTATTGTTTGTTGACATATAACAGAAAAGAGTAATAGAAGTTACCTGTTTCTCTCATTTTTCTTCTTTCATTTTCTTCGATGCAATACCACCTGAAATTTCTATAATTAATAATCATTTCTATAACTGAAAATAAAGTGAAGGATAGACGCATTTGGGAATCTATTAACTGACCAGTTAGATTTCGTCTCTTCCTGTTTGTAATACGCAAATAATCCTCCTCAGTGCATTCGTGATTAGTGTGCTCTTCGTGGAAAGATGAAATTCGAAGACAACCGTTGGTTGTGTCAGCATTCAAACGAAATCTGGCTTTGCAACCCAGTGGAAGATAATTTTGTTTTATACGTTCACCTTTTCCTGAAGGAATGAAACAGCGAAATTTTTGCTTTGATCCATTAAGACAAGTTTTAACAGTTAGTAAAATAATTGCGATGAGTATCGCTTAAACTTCTACCTTACTTATAATTAAATAGCGCAAGTGAATATAAATAAGGAAACATTTGCATCTTATTTTTGAGAAACTTATGGAAGTTATCCTGAAATGATAAAAAATGATGAATTCTTTTAACAAAAATGTTACCTCTTTTACGTGGTGCCCCATAATGAGCACAATGATACACTACATATTTATATTTAAAGCGACTGATCACTTGCCCTTTACCATCTCGAAGAAACTCGGAACTACCTACCCTATACGGGTAATTCCATACGATCATGTAAACTTCGAAACATTCGTAAAATTCGTCAAAGCTGAACAAAGAAAGTTTTCTGGCATTGTTGTAAAAAATAGAATTACATGTTTACTACAATAAACAAAACCTCTGAAATGTGGCTCCGTCGTGAATACGTAAAGCCTTGCGTCGAAGTTCTTCTTGCTCTGCTAGTGTAAATGACGAGAATGTTCTGTTACTATATTGTTGATTAAGATTTAATAATTTCGATTCAGAGCGCTTTCGTTTAGCATTTGATGAAGCTGAAGTAATATGATATTTTGATGGGAGTAAAGATGGGAAAGATGAAAATATCTAAAAATACACTTTTCAATTACCGTACAGATTGTCAAATCGTTACCATTTCCTGAATTGTCGATTTTTTCACCATTTCGCTTATCCAACCGTTTTTTATGGGATTTTTCAGCTGATATCACCATATTAAACTGTTTGTCCAATACTTGATCTTGGCAATTTCTATTGTTCAAATCAGCAGACCCCTCCTCGGTATCATCAGAAAAGAGTTGTGGCATATTTTCCGTTTTGCTTCCACTTTGCTCTTCAGTGTTGTCTTCTAAAAGTACTCGCTTTTGTAAAGAATATGCTTTTTTTCTAAAAATATGAAAAAAAAAACGTTTCTAAAAAAGCATTGGTTGCTTACGAATGATATGCCTAACGAAATTTGGCTTCCGTTTGTTTCGGCCTGATCCGTTTCTAGTTTCCTGAACACCAAATTCTTCATTCGCTGAAAGTTTTTTTGTGAATCATTTAAATTTAATTGTTATTGCAGAATTTCTTGCATTACTTCATCGAATTTTCTTGTTAAACTGAGTATATCCGATCAATTAATTATTTTTATCATCGTAATTACCTGTTGTCTTCCTATTGTTTCCACAACATTCCGATGACGATTGAAAATCATTATGTCTGTGGGGAAATTGTGTATCATCGACTTTTTTCATCTTCGACCACATTTTTTTTACAGCAGTTTCTATTGCACTTTCACTTCTGTTCGTTATATTTCTCATTTCGTTTAATCCTTGCAATTCTGCAGCTGCAGTTGATGATGATTCAACTTGCATCGAAAAACTGATTACGTTCTCCTGTTACTGTAGCATAACCACTATATTCTGCAAATTTATTACTATGCAATAACGTACTTGCAAACATTGCCCTATTCTTAGGGTAGACTTATTGATACGTATTCGATATAAGCATTTCAAATTTGTTCCACATATTACTGGAGTAGCATAAAAACAATAATCGATTTATCTTAAAAAAAAAACCGTCCAAAATCTCATTATCTGTTTCATTATCGTATAAATTGTTATTTCTATTATTAATGGATGCATTCAGAAACTTAAAATTTAATTTAATAAAGAAACGATTAATTAATTAATTAGTCAATTTGAATTTGAAAAATAGATAAAATGAACAATTTCTAACAATGAAATTACACTTTGACATTCAGAAAAATTTATTTCTGAATGAATTTAACGCAATTTGCTACTGTCACTATCAACCACAGTTTAGTTATTTATGAGAAAAGCTTAAATAATCAATCTATCATTGATAAGAGTAGTGATAGTTGATTTATGAAAGAGCAATTTAAAATCTTGTTTTTTTGTGGTTTAAGTCATTTAGATATAAAATTGCTTTAATTACTTTTGGTGATAACTTATCAGAATTTAAGAGAATGATCGCAACTGAGCAAAGAAGTTGTTTGAATGATTTCAACACTTGGATGTAATTTTAGAATTTCATTTTCACTAAAATATCAAATTTTTATTTCAGAGGAAGCCAAATTTAATCCATTCAATTAATAATAATGTTAAACTATTAAAAAGAGAAATTTTTATAAGATTGGTGCTATAAAGTGAAAAAAGAGAATAACAATGGAAGTCCAGAGGTTGAGATCAGAAGGATGTTAAACTATTAAAACCATTTCATGTTTACTAACTTCATGCTAGCCTTTACAATTTCAAAAGCAACAGTTTTGCTATTTAGTGGAGGACTATCTTTGTTATCATTTGGCTCTAAATAACTAATCTGTTTGTTAGACGGGCTTTCAAAATTAAAACTAAAAAAAGGCGCTTCCAATATCAAATCGAATTTACGGAAACTTCATAAGCAATTTTTTTCAAAATTCCAATGTCGACAACTGGCAAAATTCAAAGCTAATATTCTTTTTTTTTTTTTTTAATTTTTTTAAGTTTAAAATTTGAAAAAAAAAAAAAAGAATTGAATACAAGAACAAAACTGATTATAATGGAAACGTTCATTAAAGCAAAAAAAAAAAAAGATGATTTTAGGAGGTCAAAAGAACAAGACAATCTCTGGGGTCAGCCCTAACGAAGACTAGTAGCGGACAGTGGTCAATAGTAAGTTCAGCACAAAGGCTCTCACTGCAATTGTTGACATCATTGATACCGATGGTCGTCTTTTTTGTAAACGACAAGAGAAGAGATCGAGAGGAACTGTGTGACACATTCCTAATATGCAGTTAAGGATAGCTTAAGAAAATTTTTTGCAAACAGGAAAATGTACCTAGTAATTATTTATTGTTACTGAATTAAGTAAATCCTACGGTATTAAGTAGAAATAAATGAGTGAAAAGGTATGAACATCAATCATTAATTGAAACGAATAAGTAAGTAAACATCACCAGTATATTGTTTTTTTTTTTTTTTTTTTTTTTTTTTACACCTTAGTAAACAGAATACTGTAATAGAGAGGCCGAAGATAAATTCTGCAATTTGGCCTTAGTACAATTTTTAACAAATGAAAAGTAGCTCTAAATGTTTAGCTTTTATTTCGAAAAATCGCAGAGATCATAAAAAGAAGAGGACGAGTCAGAAAAGTGGACGGCGGTTAGAGGGTCGATCAACTGATGTAATGGTCAGTTCCAATGCTTTAGCAGAGGAGAAGGCTTCAAAAATTTTTCACTTTTGCTTGCCTCTTCTTTGACCATCATTTATATACCTACTCAGTTTATTTATTGCTGTATCGCACGCTTTGACAGATTCTTTCAAGTGTGTATTATGTTAAGTTGAGTGTGTGTGACCTATGACCCTAAGCAATATTGATAAATTATTTTTTATTTAGCACACATACATCATATTATAGAAATTGATAGCAACTTTTAGTAAAGTTGAATAACTATTTAGCTAATACGCATCTGATCTAGAATTGATTAAAGTTTGTTTATAATATCTTTACAATATAACTTAGACCCTACAAGCTGTTATCTGTAGAAGTTTTATAAATAACTTGAATATGTTCTATATCAAAAGGAATGCTTTATCTCATACACCTGGATATGCTACATAATATGAACATGATCAGCAAGACATGACCGGAATATGAGACAAATCAGATTCTCATAACTTTTATGCTCTGATTTTTTTATTTGAACTGCTTGCATATGTTGAATATCAATCATCAAACGTATAATATTGGAGCATTGAAGCAATGTTTCATCTATCAGAAGAATGTGTCAAACAGAATGTGCATATTTGCACAGCAAATGATCACTTTTTGTCCTCACTGGTATTTTCCTTCCAAGTGATCATCCATCTAATCAAATCCTCAAATTCCATTTTGACTTCACCTATTTAGCTCAGAATTAGTGTTGAAAGTTCTACGAACGATGAATTTTCATTATTTTGATTTGACATTTCTTCTTAATTCTAATACACGTTCTGATGGCTGCAGTTTTTAGTACAAAGATATATTTGAAGCAAATGACATTTGATGAAAAATAAAATACCAATTACAAATATTTAAAACTTCTTAATTCCAAAAGTTTCCTAAAAATTAATTAATTTAAGATGTAAATTTCATAGTGCGTATCAAAAATAATCCAGTCTATTTTTTGAAAATTCTTTTTTAAATCCTCAGAAAGTTTTCATTTCCCTCACTTTTTCTATTATCAGCTGGAAATAATATTGATTGATTTTTTTCATACTGCCTGAATCCAAATTAATCGACTTCACGAATTTCCTCATTCCTATCATTTTCGACATCGTTTTCCAACTTTAACTACGCTTCATCCGAAAATCCGAGAAATCATATCCATAATATTAGTTGAAATTCATTGTAATATTTGCATCATTCGCATAGCACGAAAAAATGTATCTTATTAAATCGAATAAAATCGAATGCAAAAACGAATTTATCGAAAATAAGAAAGAACATGTGAGTATGTTTCTCGATTAGTTCATAGAAACTGAGAAGTGCATGAAATATTCTTAGTTGGAGTTAAATAATTTGGATATCGCTAAGTTTCAATGCAATATCAGTTGCATAACATTTTACAGCGAACGTTAATTTTCAGTTAAGTTAATAATGGATTTGAACAGTTAAGTTTGAGGAAAAAAAAAAAAAACAAATTTTTGAAATCAAACATAAAATGTGAGAGCAAAAAAATGGATAAATTACGGTAAGCGTTGTAGGAGGGAAGGAAGTTCTCTACATTGATAGTGGTCAATGGCATATAGTGTGGTCAATGACAAATAACAACAGTTAGTGATGGCTAGAGCACATAACCATCTTTCACATTTGGCGTCCTTCATAAAAGCGATAGTTGACTTTTTTATGAAATACAACTCGAAAAGAATTGTGACATATTTATGATGCGTAATAGCTTAAGAAAATCCCTTGCAAACCGGAATATCTACTAAATAAACACTTTATTATCACTGAATTAAAATAAATCTTACCTAAGAGGTGAAATTAGTGGAGAGTAAAATGTTGTTCACAGTAACTGAGGTATTTATTAGAAGGCTAAATTTAAATATCAGTGATCTTCCCATCTTAGAAGAAATAACTGAAAGTTAGAATAGAAATAAGAGAAACTGTCAGCCAAGCCGGTTTCTCTTATTTCTGTCCTATAAAACATGCAATTACAATTACATTTTGATCCCGAAGAAGATAAAATTTTAGTTCTATTAAAACATTTGGTTTTTTTTTTTTTTTTTTTTTTGTTCTCTGGAACTGATGCAATTATAGCTAAGAAGAATTTAGAAAAGATATATTATTTGTTCAAACTTTTCTATTGCAGTACTTATCATAATTTGTTGAAAAATAAGATTGTTGAAGAAAAGAATTTTCCGACTTTATTCTCACAGCACTTTTCATTCAACTAATTTGGTGTATCTTTTATAATCTAAATATGATTATAATCCTCTTTGATTGACATCTTCGCCTCGTAATAGTCATCACTTGCACTGCCAATTTACAGTGACATTACTCGAAACATAATGAGATAATTGTCCATAATGAATTATGCCACTCTCTGTCAAATTCTTGTTGACATAACAAATTGTTCCATCTTTGAAGTTTTTTGTTTTTGAAGCCAATCACAATGAGATGAATTTAAAACGTTGGGAAAATATATCAAATTTGAAAAATATGCTAAATTGGTTATTTTTCTGCAGAATTGTGAGCAAAACGAGATCTCCGGTCAATACTTTATGAACTCCAAATTCTAATATTTATCTGCATTATTAAAAATACAATGATAAATAATGGTGTTGTGCACTACTGCTTATTAAATATATTGCAATAATTATTCCAGTTTGATGAAAATTAAACAAAATCTGTAATTTTCGATGAAAAAACAACCAAAAAATTACAATTTGATATAATATGAAAAAACAAAACAATAAAAATTTATATAGCAAGTAAAATGAATAAAAATATGATACCGCTACAGGTATTACAAAAGCGAGTAAAGGTAAAGGCAAAAGAAATAGAACAATGAAGCATATGGCAGTTGACATTCAAAAAAAAGGTTAAATAAATGAAGAGATGTGCACCGGAAAAACTAGCGTAGAAAGTACTTATTATATTAAATTCCTTCTCCCAAAAATAAATTCAATAAGTGAATCGAAAAATAATGATGGAGAGAACAAGTGATGAAGAAATGCACAGTAACATTTCGTCCGAGTCTTTGCCTTTGCATAAAATTCGAGGTAAGTTGAGAACAGTTTAATCCTCTAATCACCTGGAAACTAGGTAACCTGAGTTTATCACTTACTTTAAAACAGATTTCATTATAAGAACAAGTGGAAATATATGCAAATGTGGGAATTCCGGAAGAAAAAGCATAATGCATAAATTAAATTTGTCAAACATTTCTGCCGTCATCACTGTTAGTTCAGGTTTTATTAAACAAAAATAAACTCATTTAAATTATAATATTTAAACAAACTGCATAGCACTAACAAACTGTTTAATTTTTGTTTTTTAAAAATGCAGTTAATATCATTTTCAAAAGTGTGTTTGACATTATTTTAAAGAGCGGCGAACGATCTAATAATCATGTTTCATGATTATTCAGATACATCTCAAGTTGTAGCGGAGTCGGAATGATTATAAGCTTTAATATTTCAAATGTCTTAAACATCAAACATCTTAAGCTAAGTGAATGCTATTGCATCGGAACAATTACAATCATCATTATGAGAAATGACTTTTATCAGACTTCAAATAAAATGTTAAATTTGAATTTATTACAGATGCTTTTTCTCACTTAACGGTAACCACAACCAAACATTAATGGCAAAGCTTTTATTGCAAGACAAATCAGTGAAAATATTTGAAATATTCAATTTCGATATGACTAGTATATTCAGTACTGAATTTGCCCTTAAAAGTATTGCATGGTTATATTAGGGTAAATAGTAATTCAGTGCGTTGAATTTATTAGTTCAGTTATAATTCAATTATTCTTGCGCTTCTTTTCTTTTTTTCTTCAACCTCCTAGCAGTGAAGAGTCAAATACTGGACCAATTTAATTCAATAATTAATCAATCATATGGAAAATTTTTTGCTATTTAATGAGACTTACAAGACACGAATGCAAATATCACTAACGATTTCAGAAAATAATGTCGCTATATAGGTGTATTAGACTTAGAAGTACAGAAAATCTTTATTTTCAATGATGGTGATAAATCAATTCATTTTTACGTAAAATACATTCAAATTTTGTGAAATTTATCGAGACATGTCGTTTCACCATTCTATTAAATTCAATAAAACTTTTGGTTTTTATGAAATAATTGAAGTTTTTTCTTCAATCAATTATAATTCTGGGGGATTTGATATATGTATATATAATAATAATAATAATAATAATAATAATAACTTCCACAAACTTCTGGGAAGTGAACGTATAATAGAGAAAGAGACAACTGATCTTTATCAATCTGTTAAGTTAGCAGAAATTTTTACTATTTTTTTCTATTTCGTCGCAACGTTTTATTATTATGTTTATTCAGAAAAATGAAAAAAAAAGAAGGAAAACAAACTCGTTTTCTCATATTTTCTGTTATTTTTTTTAATTAACAGTTTTGGACTAGTACTTTTTAAAACATCGCTAGTTGTTTGCTGATATCATTAAATGATAAATATAATCATTTGCTGTGTTTGGAGCAGATCGACGTAGTCGATTATTTCAATTAATTGGTGAAACAAAACAAACTCTTTTGCATATCTTTTCTGATTTCTTCACTTATTTTTCTTTTTCATCAATAAATATTCTCAACAAATATGAATGAACTAAAACATAAATTCACATTACTATTACAGTTTTCTACTTTCATTGCTAACAATTAATAGGGAATCGCAGGACAATGTCGCAGGTAGACAATGTCGCAGGTAATTTCTAAGAATTCGCATTGTTGTATTAAAGGATGAAACAATAACAAGAAGCAATGAAGCAAAGTGAACATAGTGGAATAACACTTTCACATAGTTGCAGAAAAGCTCTCATTGGCGGATGCGTCCACTAAACAATGGCACATGGCACCGTGAATTTTTCCATTTCTTCTTCACATTATTTTCCTTATTAATCTTTCTGTTATGCAAGTGGTAGGTATTTTAGGATTTAAATTAATATAAAATGTTGTGACACTCTCTTTGTCTCTGATTATACTAATATGAACGCTTAGTACCTCTAACATTTATCGGCGTTGATTTCAATTTTCATTTTTGGAATCATTCAGAAGAACTGATGAAAAGTTGTGATAAATATTTGTTATTTTGTTATTTAATTCGAGTAGTTTCAATTGAACGATATTTGATATCCATTTTATGTTTCAATATTAGTAAGAAAGAGTAAAATGCATGAAAATTGTAATTGTTCTATGTAAACAAAATTAATTCCATAGCGAAGATTTTAAACACAAAGCGAAAACTGAAATTTTACAACAAATTAATGTGTTATTGATAAAACAATTAGTGAAGGATAAAGGTTTCGATTTTATTAAGAGGAAAATGATGAGTTAATGTTGTAAGAGCTAACATAATAGTGGAATATTTGTAGTGAAATAAATTTGCATATTTCCACTCGGTTTAGTTCATCGGGGCATACTTGCATTGCACTGAAATTGTATGCAAATTTTTACATTTCTCGTTCATTGTTAGTTGATTCTTCCTCGTTGATTGGTTGGTTCGCATTAGAGACTATTTTCTGGTGGGATGAACTGCTGAAGCTGACTGAAGCTAAATTGTGCGAATTGACTACATTTCTTTAAGTTTTCTGTTAGAAAAAGATCTTGGATGGGAGGATAACTTCAAAGACTTTTAATTGCTAATCATTAGAGATCTTTTAGAAGATTTAATTGAAACGAACTAAATTATATGAAATATGACTTTTGTGTTTTAATCTACAAAGATAATGTAACTAACTGTATTTGCGTAGAATAATGTTTGTTCCGAGTAACTGATAATGTTTTCATGAAGGAATATGTATACAGAGCTAAAGGAACTGATCAATTTTCTGGCTATTTATATGCATCATCGAATTCCTCGGCGTCGGGTAGCGTTGTATTTTCTGTCTTTTTCCTTTTGATTTATTGATTAGCAGCGAATCAACAAATAACTTTTAATGGTGTTTTTTTCTTTTTTGGTGGGAGAATTTTAGTGGTTTATTAACACTTTGATAATTTGTATCATTTCAGATTTGTTTGCTCATGGAAAGTTACAGTAATCATCTTGCGGGAAGATTTTTGGGAAATGGAAGCCAGAAGAGCCAGAATATGGTTAGCCAAATAGTTATAATAATAATTACAAAGTATTTATGTGTGTGTGTGTGAAAGGAGCATTGATATTCGTAAGTATTTTGATTTTCGATTACTTGCAAAAGGAAAATTGTTACATTTGAAATTATTTTAAGTCAAGGAGTATAATTTGAAAGTTAAAGTTTAATTTGAACATTTAGTATTTGCAGGAGAAAAAGAGCGAACGTTGATGATTAAAGCAGGAGATTGCCTAGACCAAATTCTCAGCACAATTGCAACAAGCATTGGGATTGTTGAAGAAGATCTTGCAGCGTGTTTTCCATGTTTGTTTCGCTTAATTCAGTCTATTATTTTTTTTTAAATTTTGTTTGTATTTTATCATATTTCTCTATAAAATTTAAAACTATAAGAGATGCTATTTGTTGAAGCACTAATGATAGCTTATTGCAACCCTGGCATAGTATCGTGCCAAGTGATGAACTATGCACATATGATCACTGTTTGGATGGGAGATGTTAACGCTGATGTAAATTTTACGCCTATACCAGATGGTATTGCGTTCTTCTGCGAAACCCCGGCTATACTGTACAATGTTTTGAATAGCAATGGCAACGTTATGGATAAAACAAGTAAGTTTTCAATTACAACAGGATTCTGTTGATCATGTACGGTGATTCCGCAATTTACTCTTCTGAATTCTCTTTTGGAAATTTCACGATAACTGATCATCATTGGTGAAGTTTTTAAGGAAAGAGAACAAATGAAAGTTGAAATTTTGCAGAATATCCTTTCTATTTTGTTCCAAAAAACAAAGAATTGAAATCACAACGATGTATTCTATTGCAATTAATTAGCTCGATGGACGACTATGCTTACGATTTAGTTTGGAGTGGTTTTCTCTTCGAAAATGAGGTATACTTTTGAATTTTTGAAAGAAATGAAGTAAAATGAAGTGAGTCTCCAAATTTACGTTACATACAATTGTCATGCAGCTAGCTATTGGTAGTAGGTGGGATGGAAAAGGATCCTATATATCTAAAGCTCTTTTTATAACTCGTTATGATCCGTTCAATTCAGTTGTTTCTTCTGTAGGTACAGAATGCATTAGATAGTCTTATTTGATTATCCTATTATTTATAGATACCACCTTTGCTTTTCCGTTATATTACAAAAGAAAATTGTCCATTTACGGCACGCCTATTTGCGGATACACGTTTTGGTTGTCATCGATCACGTCCTGATCACAAAGCTATGCGTCGAATTCAACATGCTGCAGCATATTTAGCTGTCACCAACGATAATGCTGGCTATAATAGTGCTTCTGGTATAACTTAATAACTTCAAAAGTTTAGTTCATCTTAATTTACTTTATTCTCTTGGATTCAACTTTCACTTATTTTGTAGCAAAAATATTCAAATTTCAGGTAGCCATCAGGAAAGCGCTCAGTATGATATAAATCCAGCAACCAATAACTGTATGAATTTTTTTGTCAGATCGTCTTTGATATCATTAATGAAATTGCAATTTATAAATAGTAATAACTTTAGTTTGCTATAGTCAACAGCTCCACGCAAATAACAAATTTGCGCCTATAACTTCGCTCTCTGTTCCACTTGTGTCATCATCATCATCATCATCATCATCATCATCAGCAGCAGCAGCAACAGCCGCTTCAATTGGACAAAAAAACTGTGATACAGTGGTAATAAATTTTGAAAAATTTCCAGTTTGTATCGCAGTAAGAAAGACAATTTTGAACAGAGAAAAGTGATTGAATTTTTGCAGAACTCAATGACAGCATCTGCAAATGTTATCACAAATACAGTAGCGTCAAATGATTCTAAGCGTCTTCTATTGGATCAATCGCTGATGCCTTCAAATCCACTGCCCGAATCCATCAGTAATAATGCTGGACACGTTGTTAATCAGTTTTATTCATTATCTCCAATCTTGGATAATGGCAGTGACTTCAGTGCATGGAATTGTTATCCTGCAGCAGGTGACATTAAAGTGGTATGACTTTTTCTTTACATTGTTAAATCTCGCTATTTTGATTTGCTTAATCTTTAGTTCTATGTACTTTCTGATGATAGTTGTAATTTTCCAACTTTCGCTAAAAGTGGAACAATAAAAAACGATACTAATTGAGAAATTAGTAATCTGAGGATCGATAATTCTTGCAGGACAATGCGATTGCTAAGATTCCAGTATATGACGAGCGTAATAATTTCCATCTTATATATCCATATAGCTCCCCCCAAGCATCAGTTGCCGACAATTACAACAAATATTCACTTGAAACAGGTGAAATATAAAACACCAATAATAAATACTTGTGTTGATTTACTCATTCAAAACTTCTTACCCCAAAAACTTTCATAAAACAATTAATTTAAGTTGTAATTTTCACAGTGCGTTTCATTTTCAAATCATAAGAAAGTTTTCATTTCTCTCACTCGAGACTATTTAAATAAATCGATTTCAGGAACTTCATCATTCCTATCATTTCCGGCATCGCTTTCCAATCTCAACTGCGCTTCATCCGGAAATCAGGGAAATCAAATCCATAATGTTAGCTAAAATTCGTTGCAGCATTTATATTATTCGCATAGCATGAAGAAAATGTGTCTTGCAAAATCGAACTTTGTCTAAAATGAGAGCTTGTGAGTATGTTTCTCGTTAAGTGTGTAGAAACTGAAAAGTATGTGAAATATTTTTAGTTCGAGTTAAATAATTCGGATATGTCTAAGCTTCAATACAATGTCAGCCGCATGTCATTTGCCGATGGTGGTGCATCTCCATCGTCAACATTTGCCACCAAATAGTCCAAAATGATTCGAGAAGAGCTTTAATGATTGCAAATCAAAGTTTTAAAAACAATTCGGCATTCTATTACAAATATTTGATGAATTTTTGTTATTACTAAGTTCAGTTCTCTTAATCACTTGTTTTCTTCTGTTAATTAATTAATTAATTTTTTTGTAATTATTGTGATATTAATCCTATTTATTAGTATTAAACTTATATAATATTGTAATATTTAATGATTGAAATTTAATGTGTTTCTATGTTCCTTTTGGGCTAACTTGAAAAGGACTGATAAATAAAATTTTTAAGAATTTTGATATTATGCTAATTTGGACACTAAGGCTTACCAATTGCTTTGTAGAAATAAAAAAAAAAAAAAAACCGAGCAAAGAAAATTTGCTGCACAGAAAAATGTCAATTTGGTCTTTTTTTTTCTTTTTTACAACAAGAAATCTTTTTTTTTTTTTGCAGTGAATAAACAGCAAGGTTGATATGAATTTTGATCAGTGAATCCTTTTTTATTCTATTCAAACACACACAATAAAAATTTTTTTTTTTTAAAGTGGCAATGATTTTTTTATTTAATAGTGAATTTGCAACAATACTCAGTTATTTTGCATAATTTCGTACAAATTAATTGGTAAATAGACTTTTTCTCGTGAAAATTCCAAATTCATTTTTTATCGCTTTTCTTTCCTTGAAAACAATTTTTAAAAAAGTTGGCATAACGAAATTGCGCATTCTTGGAATTATTTAGCATTTTTTACTTATTTATCCATTTATTTGATTTTTTATTTTTTTGAAATTATAGTGTATTTGACAAAACAAAGATTATTTAACTTAAAAGAGAAACAAAACTGTTTCAAATTCACTTTATATTCGATAAGTAAAACAACTGATAAGTTGTATTGCGTCAATCAGCGTGATAATGGAATTTTTTGAATACAATTTACCAGTGCTTTTCCGTTAGACTAAAAAATGGCAACTTCAAAGTTTATCAGTTTAAATTATCACTCATTAAAATATATAATGGCGTTTATATTTTTATCACAATTTTTTCTTTCATTAAAGGAATCAATAAGCGCTCCGCAACAATGACAAATGCGCAATTCTCATTTTTTACGTCACCATTATTGCTCTGCGTTCTCAGCACACTGATATTGTTAGCAACACCTCAGAGATTGATTCCGGTAATTTTTATAATTTCATATCGTTACAATGAGTGTAGTGAATGAGTCGTGTAAGACAAAATATTTTGGTTTTAAGTGAAAAAAATTCAAGGAATCAGAAATTTATTGAAAATTTTTTATACATCTGACAACGAATTGGGCGAAAACGATGAAATTCCAATCAAGAAAACGTGGGTGGATTTGATGAAAACATTAATGTTGTGCGACAGAACATTGTTTCTATTGCAAGTTCATCGTGGAATACTACCATAGATAATGAAAGAAATGTGTGCTAAACGGACTTTTACGGATCGGATACATCAATGAAACAGTGTTACCATGGAAGTAAGTTTCTGAGATGTTTATTGCTGAGTAAAATTGAAATTTGTTATTGTCAACAGAAAATGCTTTTTGCTTCAGATGATTCCATGTAAGTAAACTGTGAACGCTGTCTCGTTTGCATTGCTTAATAAAACTTTTGTTGCAGCAGTGGTCGACCACTTCTGATTAGATATATTTGGGGAATTAATACTAACAATGGCAATGAAATTTTCGCCTTTGGAGTCTTGTAATGCTATAAAATTGTGTGACGTTTGTTGTTGAATAAAACTGAAATTTGTTATTGTCACTATTTTCGACATAAAATGGTTTTGCACCAGTGAGATTGATTTCAATTTCCATTTTGAAATCATTCAAATAACTGAGAAAGCAGACCATTTCAAGCTGACGCAATGCCCAATTAAAGTACTTTTTAGCTGAAAGTGAGACATATTTATGATCGGAGTTATAAGTAAAACAATCTAAGCGTCGCTGCAAATTTAGCAAGAACCGTGATCACAGAAACTTTCTTTTAAAAAATTTTAAAATTTGTAACCAAATTCATCATGTTTTCATTTTTCATTTCTGCAAAAGAATTTGCAAGCCTCAGTGTTCAGATTAGCAAAATATTAAATTTTTTTGCAAAACCAAATTATCAGTTTGTTAGGCTGAAAAATAGCGCCTTAGTGGATCGTCGGACTTAAAACGCCCCACAACAAAGAAAAATGAGACTTCTTTTTTTCTTTGATCAGTATCTTTTTTTTCTCTTACATTTTTCTTGACTTTTTTACTACTCTTTTGAATTCTCTATAAATTCATATTATTAGCAACATCTCTGATTACTTGTGATAATTTTTGTGAAATCATTTGCTATCGTGATCGTATTGAATGAGAGATGAGCTTTCGAGAATTCTTAAGAAAACAAAAGTTTATGCAAATTTTCTCAGAACTTTGACGTATACGACTTAGTCAGTGGGAATAACGAGTCATTGGGATTAACACAAACGTTACTGAAAATTCACAGTTATTGTTTTTTCAAATTCCAATTTTTTTAAACAAATTAATCGGCTATTTGACAAATGTGTAACTATCAATTGTGCAGATGGCTTTAGTGCTTAAATGCAAAGATTATTGCCCTCATATTAATAATATTAATCAAACTCTTTTACGTAGGATCTCATAATAAATGCAATGGAACACTGCATATTCATATTTAAAGCGGCTGACTTCACAATCTCGGAGAAGCTGAAAACTAGCTATTCTATACGAGTAATTCCTAACGATCATGTAAACCTCGAAACATTCATGAAATTCATCAAAGCTGGAAATAAGAAAAAAGTCAAAAGAAATACTCGAAACATTCATGAAATGCGTTTGCTACAACAAAAATAAACAAAAACATTGAAGTGCAGCTCCGTCATGATTACGTGAAGCCTTGTATGAGATTTAGGTTGTCGTTAAATAGAGATTGATAGGATGTAGAGTGGGTACTGATATGAAGCTTGCTAGGATAGTGAATTTAATCTTATAAAATGCATATTGACTAACAAAAAGCGCACGATTACAATGATTTAAATAAAGATCTATTATTCTTGAATGATCTTTACCTATATATTAAGAGTTATGTTGATTGCTTATAAGAATGACTGACGACGGATTGGAAGATTGTAAATAGAATTGGTTTATAAGAAAGCTAAACAGTTTACAATCTTTTAACCATTGAATCTGTCAGATTGGAAAATAGTGATAATAAACTGGAAGCAATATATAACAAATTAAGCATTTCATATATTCTTTGCTAAGATTGTAATTTTTTAGGCACCATACATACACATATACTTGTTGTAATTGGAAGATGAATGTTGGATAATAAATGGTTTTTCATTTAAAACTGAAACAGTTTTATATTTCTCTAACAAATATTCGATGAGATAGTTTTAAATTTGTATCCTTTCATTCACTCTCATCTGAAACGAAGAGTCTTTTAACCTTCTTACCCAGTCCTGTGTCGGTCCAGTCGTATTTCACTTGTCGCGATTGCTCACCCTCATCAAACACCAATTGAGAACTCTAATACAATATATTTGTGAAAAACATACTATCCTACTTTATATTTCTTTGAAAAGCACATTGATCGTCCTGAATTATTTGCTCTAGATCCTCACGTACTTGACCGATAAAAAACACGTCTAGAAAACAAATTTTTGAAGTGGTCGTATAATGTCATTTCAAAAGTTTTTTCTTTTTTTTTTTAATTTTAAATCTACTGATGATGACAATCATCTTTTTTCCGAAACGCCATGTATGCATCTGCATATGCTGATACCAACCTTTTATCTATGGTGAACCAAGTCGACTTGTTCCGGAAAGCTTGCAACATTAGCGCTAACTCCGGAGCTATAGCACGGAACAGAATTTAATCGTACATTTCTGATTAAAATATAGTAAATTAAACACAAATTTATTATTTTAGAGGAATTTCAAGTATTTTCGAACTAATTTAACTGTTTAATATTTCTCCAGAGTTGTTAAAAATAGCACGAGCTCTCAATCGGTTCACTATGCTCTTGTCAGCAAAATTTTTTATCACTGATGTTTCTGACATTTAGGGCTTCCCGGTGTCATTCCCATAATTTCTTTTCCTACTGATCAGTTTCCTACAATCTCCTTTCATCCTTCACTAAGCAAGCATAGAGTAATTAATTCATCTTATTGAAATGTAGCAGTGGTTACTATGCTTCGCTAAGTATTCAAACAATTCTTACGAAACCACGAAAGGACTACTCAAATTCACAATTCATACAAAATATTCACTTGAACGAACACCATTTATAGGAAAAAGTTGCAGGAAACATTTAATTCATTATACTATTGTCCATCTCATTTTATAAGTAAGCACATTATAGTTCGTTCTTACCAGGCAATAAACTTACAGCAAAAAGAAAAGGTCACATGATAATGAGATTCAATCCTTAATAAGCTGTCTTTTCTTCATGAGACAGTTCACTTAATGCGTTTTCAACGATGGTGGCTGCACTATGATTTAAAAAATTGCTCGATTAAAGACAAGAGTGAATTACTGACAGTAGTTGACATCTTTCAGGTTGATTGTTCAAGCAGCAGCACTTGTACCTCTTTTTCAGGACAGGTCTATCTATTGTTGTGACGAGTCCACCGTACAGCAAGATCTGAACGACGATGGTCTTCCATCTCGAAGACGTGACCTTACCATAGCCTCAATTCCCATTTGTTAAGAACGATTATATAGTCACGTGCTCAGTGTAATGGATCTTTAAGATGATGTGGAAAAAGCACTGATGGAACAGTTCAATGTACGTACGTAACTACCAACATTGCAATGTAGAATTCCATTTACATCTACCTCAGTTTCCTGTGGAACTCTTTGCTCCTTCGGTTGATTGGTTAATCAAAATAACAATTTTTGGGATACTTTCCAACTCAGTTTTTATTTTCATTATAATAATGAACTATTTATAATTAAATTCGAGATTGGAATAAAGTATAATTAAATAGCAGCTATGAAATTCGGAAATCTTATTGTATGATGACATATGATGTTTTCAGAATCAAATTAGAAAAAGTATGTCAAAAGTTGACATCGACTAATTGATCGAGGAATCTTATGCAGAAGATTTTCTTTTACCAGTACTACTGTCCTCGAATGTATTGACTGCCAGATATTTTATTTTGCCTCAAAGTTGGGTAATTAAACCGACAAATCAACATTATAACAACGCGTAACGAAAGATATAATATAATTATAAAACACTAAAATAATATCAAAAATCACCCCAAAATGTCGAATGAATAACTGTAATGGAGGACGGTTGGTTTATATACAGAACTGAACTAACCACATATCCGGCCGAGGACAGTTAAATGATGTGAAACAAAGATTGCTAACAAAGGATTTTTGCTAACGAAGGGTTTTTGCTAACAAAGGGTTTTTGTCAATTAACACGTTTCCGTTTTTTTTACGACAACTATGGTGGTGTGAGATCCACTTAAAACAATATGAGAAATCATAAATTTTGGATGTGACTGAGTTTGAAATATAAGTTGAAATTTTTGCTGTAATACTATTATCATATATGGAATGTGATAGAAATTAGTATAACCAATTAAAGTGTTTCCTGCTAGCGGTGCTTTTCTATAAACATTTTTTGTGAAGTATTTTGTATGAACTGATGAATTTGCGTAGTTTTTTTCGCAGTTTAGTAATACGTTGAAATAATCGAAATAATTTTGCATTAAATCTGTGAGATAGAAATTCATAGATTAAAAACTGTCTTATTTGAATGCCTGTTGGAGAAATATAAAAGTATTCTAATTTTAATTCTAATTATTTGCCATTATCAATGTAGAGAACTTCCTTCCCTCTTACAACGCTTACCGTAATTTATCCATTTTTTCGCTCTCACAATTTCAAAAAAATTTGTTTTTTTTTTCCTCAAACTTAACAAAGCTTCCGTTCAAATCCACTATTAACTGAAAAATTATGCAAAATTAACCTTTGCTGCAAAATAATACGCAACTGTGATTATATTGGAAGAAATTTAACTGAGATTGTATTGGAGAACATATTCACCATGATCTTCATTAAATTCCCAGACTGGCCACTTTCGGTTATCTCTCGGTTAACTATCTCAGTCCTTTCTACCATGGTTCAAATTTTGCAAGTTGAAGAGGAGAAAGTCCTCTTCTGGATATTTCGGCAGGTTTGTCCAGTTTTTTTAATATCGCGAAACTCTAAAATATTATTTGAGAGTAGGGAATATGAGTAAGAAATATGTTCTATGAACTTTTCGCAAAATAATCTTTATACTTTAAACTCATTATTCCCAATCTTATGTTTAGGCTTTAAATGTTTCATATATTGTTTACACGATATTACACAGAGTTTGCATGGTATCAACAATAAGGTCGACTCACTTAGTTAACCTCATTCCTGTGTCATTCAAACATAATTGTAAATTATGTTTGAATCTACGAGGTCAACTTTTACATAGTTGACCTCCTTTGCGGCTTATCAACAGCTCTTTGTTAGACTAATTACTCTTTCGGCAGGCCAACTTCTAGTAAATCATGTTCTTTGTTTATTATGCATGCTGCTTGCTATTTAAGAAGATCACTCATATTCAGTTGAAGTGTATGTTTTTACCGAGAGCCAGGAAAATTCAATTAGAGAGTAATTCGACCACAAAAGGGGATTTCCAATATTTCCACTACTAGTACCTACGTCTCTATCAAATTTATTGCTTTTATTGATAAAGGAATTATTATATTCCTGTGTTACCACATTAACATCTGCATCCAACTGAGTTAAATCTCTTCCAAAATTAACAATTTTTTAAGTTTTCAATGACAGGGTTATTTTCGTCTAAAATATATCAATATGAGAATTTGGCTACTGCTATTTCTACGACAAGATTTGAATGAATTTCGGTAGTAGACGTCTCCAATGTAATAATGCACATATAGAAGCAAACCACAAGATAACGTTCTGATTCCATTTGTTTAATAACAAATTAAGTAGCGTACTCCAATAAGTATAGCAAGCAATTCTAATCTTAGAATAACCATATCTTTGATAGGAGCAATTCGTAACTTGGTGAACACCAATGAAGATTCATTGCTTTGAGTGATGTATGTCAAAGCGATTATGCAGCTGAAGAAGCATTAGAAAAAACTTAAATTTTTATTGGTTATGAAAAATTAATTACACTATGTGATAGTTCTTTCACATGTACTAGTCATACACATATAAAATGTATTCTAACTTGGAGTCCACCGCAGAATTCTGTTGACACCCATAAGTTCCGAAGAAATAGCTTAATTGATATTACAGTTTTGATAATTAAGAGTCCTAATGGATCGCATTGTGCAGCCGTAAACTGCAAAATTACTGTTTCAGTTGGTTCTTGATCATCTTAAAGAGTTGCTCAAATAAAGGCTTTGTCGATGTCCTAATGATTTACCTTTACTCAATATTGTTCCGGAATATTTTGTTAAATTCTCTATTGTTCGAGGAGAATTCTCTCACATTCATGGATGCATCGTTGAATATAGCTTTCATTTCTTTATATTTAGAAGGAGTTTCATTGGTTTCTTTGGTTGATACTATAATATTGTTCATAATATTATAATATTTATAGTATTATAGTATTGTCAAGGTAAGATTTTTTCTGATTTTATCGACGAGTTTACTACCATAATTTTGTGATTGATAATTAAGAGTAACTGATAATAAGAAGAAGGGTGATAATGAAAAAAGAAAAATGGAAGCCGATAATGTTCAATATTATCCTCTATTATCTGTCTGCAAATATCATTTAACTAAAGGAATCGTGTGCAGTTTCTTTGTGACGGAAGTAATTCTAACTGTATGAAAACTGCTATGATAATTTCCATCATTCAGAAACGAAGTAGTATCGCGAAATAATCTCGCTAGCTTCCAAACAGCTTACAAAATATATCAAATAAAATTGTATTATTCCACAAATTAAAATTAATCTTAATTGAACATTAGAAATGTAAAACTGATTTAGATTATACATTATGTAAACAATCGTTATTCCAACACCCATCATCCCATTGTAGCTGAGCTTATCTGCTTGTCTAGAAAATTTCAGCAGTTAACAAAGATTATATATCTATTTTTAAATGCTTAAATGTTACACCTTTGTTCCAAATCAAATTTGCTTGTAACGTCGAAATATTCTAAAGATTTTCTAATTTAATAATAATTCTATAAGAAGTTACAATATTAAAGCCCATCTCTTATTATATAAAGAGTACAGATCATCTAAAGGTCATAGTTTTACAAATGATTCGTTATATTCACATTGTCTGCAAATGCAGTGAGTTATTAGAATTATAGCAAAAGTGATGAAATTATCAAAAAGATTATGCGATTATTACTTTAATTAGAAAGGTAAAGGAGTGACCATCGGTGATCACTTGAAGTAATCACAAAAGTAAAGCACTGATCATTGGCGATCACTCGAAATAATCACAAAAGTAAAGCACTGATCATTGGCGATCACTCGAAATGTTTCAGAAATATGTATTTATTTTTTAACGTATTTAAACAGAAAAAATTTCCGCGTGATAAGATCAGGATTCTTTACTGTTTACATCCACAATTTCACGTAAAAGCAAAAAACTTTTAAAAATCATTTTTAAATTTATCGGATTCTTAGAACAGCAGGTACTGCTTATTTTTCTTTTATGTTAAATATAAACGAGAAGGATCTATCTCTTTATTGAGTTTAGTTAAATATTGCATTACATATTGAATTTGTATTGTTTGCTATGCAACGGATCTTTCTCAGTTGTGCACCAAATTTGTGAAACTAACGTGGGACTTTAGTGCAGCACTGTCTATGATAGTTCATATTTTTCTTATGGATGAAAATTTTGCCACAGTTTTCACACCGAAGTTTAGGGCAGTGTCTTTCCTGATGACTGAACAACGATGAATGGTGATTGAATGTTAATCCACAGCCGAACACTTTACATTCATAAATAAAAGGTTTGGGATGCGTTCTTCTGTGAGTTATGTATTCCTTGTGACTCTTTGTTTTCATTGTACATCCGACATGGGGACACTCGTAATTTTTATTATCTGAAAAATTCTCTTACAATATGCCTTTATAATTCTAGTTGTTAATTAACTTACGCAGTTTTAAACCTGATTATAAAAATATTGTGATAATATAGCTTAGGCACAGTTCTTTACTTGTTTTTTCCTGCATTTAAACAAAAAAATGTAACAGTAGATTTTCTGCTACGATAAGATCAGGTCAAGTTCTTATTCTTTACTATTCATATCCACAATTTCACGTTTCTGTGAGTACTCAGAGATTATTCTTACAGCTGAAAATTCTGCCACAGTTTTTTTTTTTTTTTTCAATTTTGCGGAAATGAGTGAAATCTAAGAAGTGCAGAGGATCGGACGAAATATTGAACGATAACAACGATGAACGATAATTAAATATTAACCCACAACCGGGCACTTTGCATTCGTAAATAAAAGGTTCGGGGTGTGTTTTCCTGTGAGCTACGTATTCATTGTAGTTCTTAGTTTTCATAGTACACCCGACATGGGGACACACATAATTTTTCTCGTCTGAAAAACTCATCTGAAAAACCGTCTTATAACATTTGTTTTTTTTTTGCATTTCACATATCATTTGGTAATTAATTGATGTAATTTGGAAAATTGAGATTAAATTGCAAGCATATACTGCAAACAATAGTTTAGTGTTACCTGTAATGGTGGGATTTTGTAGAACAAATAACTCCAAGTTTTTTGCATTAACGAGATCAGATTTTATTTCGAGTTGCTCAGTGCTTGCAACTTCAATTTTGCGGAAATGAGTGAAATCTAGGAAGTGCAGAGGATCGGACGAAATACTAGCATGCATATTCTCGCCATCTGTTCTCGATAATTCTTGCAACTGGTAATTTCCTGTTGTGATTGGAACGGTTTCGATTTTCGAATTCTCATTGCTTCTGTGTTCATTTTTCCACAAATCAGTAAAATCGAAGTGCGAAGAATGAAATGAAATGCTATTTTGCAAATTCTCAGCAGAAATTTCTAGTTCGCTGTTATGAATATCAATGCCTGAACCCAGAATCGATTCCAAATTGCTATTATCAAGGATGTTGAAACTAGTTGAGAAGTACCCATTGCTACAGTCATCCCATGTAATGTCATCGATGTCGAGATTTAGCGGAGAGATACTTCCATTCTTAGCCAAAACGATGTAAAGCAAAAAGCTGAACCAAATGATTTGTATCATTGAAATGAAGAGCGAGGTGAAATAATGAATTTTGGAAATGACAGAAATACTCGAATGAAAGTTTTTATTTGAAATTGGCTGGAATTAAACGACCATGGTTCAAACAGTTTTTAATCTGTCTCATTTGCATCATTACTCATACTTTTTCCGTTTCATTCTAATTTCCCTATTATTAAATTGACAGCTGATGAATGTGAAATAAAAGCTTCCATTTGAATATTTCTGTCATTTCAAAAATCCAGTACTTCACCTTAGAATTTAACTATCTCTCTACTAAACTCGACCGCTGCATGAGACGACTTTAGCAATGAGTTCTCTAACGATTTCAATGTGCTTGATGGCACCAATTTGGAGTCGATTCTGACTGAACATTCGCAAATATAAAAAGGTTTAATAAGCTTTGCTTTTTTTAGCCAAAGATATTTTTTTAGAGTTGGGATCATTTCCACTGAGCAAAGATTATTTAATCTGAAAGGGAAACGAAACTGATCAGAAACCCTTTATGCTTTATGCTGCACACTATACATTTTTATTTTATTCAGATCCTGTATAGTAAATGCTGAAAATTAAAATTTTTAATTCAATTTATCTGCAACTTTGAAGTTTATCAGTCTTTGATTTCAGCGATTACATTTAAATCCATAATTTTCTTTCATTAAAGTATCAATGCTGAGACAAAATACAATGTCGTTAACGGGAAAAGTTTCGGGGAAAATTTTCAATTGCATCGACGCTTCTTGTTTACTTATAATTTGCCCTACAAGTGCAGTTTCATTTTGTAAGGCCTTTAAGGAGGATTAAGATAATCCTCCTTATAGCAATAGAATTATAATACGTGAATAATAGTTAAATTTAGAGGAAAGAAGACAATAATAAGATTTTTAAATTTTAATTAGAATTATTGTTATATCTTTGAGTAATTTTTTTGTTTTAATTGTATGCATCCGATTAATTTCACCGCCACTATATTTTGCTCAGAAAAGTTAATTATGAATCCTTCACAAAAACACAAAACTTTTTTTGGCGAGAAGTCATTTCAGTTTTTATTATCATAATGCTATTAAGCAATGCATAGAACTGATTAGTGATAATTATGTATTAATGAAAAACACAAAAGTAAAGGAATGATCATTGACGATCACTCAAATCTAGAAAATTCCTTTGTTCTACTATCGTGAAATCACTCATAGGCAGTATTATTGAATGAGAGAGCTTTTGGTGGGGATTTTAATGTCATGCACGTTTCGGTGTTCCCTAACTTATACATTGATATTTTTGTATTTTACAAATTTAAATTTTACTGGCTTTTTAATTATGGCTGTAAGCCAATCATTTATGTAATAAACATATTTTCATTTACTTAAAATTATTATTAAACATCGTACAACAATCGAAAGATCGGAAGCATTCGTTATCCTTTTTTCCCTCTCTTTCTTATTATTTATACCTAAATATTGGCTATTAATGGCAAAAATAGTCTATGGGATCCGTGTTGTGAAATTTGGAGTTTAGTGTGAATATAGCTTATGGCTTAGAGTCGAATTGGACTTTTGTGTGCTGAAGAGTTATTGTGAATTGGTATAGACGAATTGAGGGGAACTGATGAGGATAAAGAATTTAAATCTTTGTATAATGGATACTGATTTGTAACAAGAGCACGATTGTTGAGTAAGAAGCTCTTATATAATCTTTACTGTTTATATGGTAAGAGACGGGTTTTAATATTGTAGCTTCTCAAAGAAATACCTTCTCAAATGACTATAGCTTAGAAAACCTTTACAATATTTTGACATCATAAACAAATTTGATTTTTTATAAGCAAATTTGACTACTTTCAAATTATCAGTTGGAAACTTATAAAAGCAAAATTGTGCTCGAGATAAGGAAAAATCTCCATGTCGACAATATTATAATACTAACCAAAAGAACCAATGAAGCTCTTTCCAAATACAAAGAAATTAAAATTATATTCAATGAAGCATCAAAAAGAGTAACTTACATCCAATATATCTCTCAAATCATATTTCCATAATTGAACTGCTTATTCAGCGATGACATGAGCAATTGTATCATGCTGGAATTGCACATACGCTCTCAAATCTAGGATCGACGATATGGATACTGAAAGGTAGAACGAGATTTAAACGAATCTTGAATAAGTGCATAAAGTGCAGATGCTGGACAACTAAACCATTATACTACCATGGCTGATCTTCCAGCATTTCGGACCACACGAGTAGAACTAGATTATTTAGGTCCTCTCACTATTAGAAGTGATCAAGAATTAACAACAAGATGGATAGCACTGTTCACATATTTTTACAACAAGAGCTGTACACCTAGAAATGGCAGAGAAGATTTACAGCAAGATGAGGCTATCTGGAATTAATCTTCAGCGACAACGCACAGTATATGAGCGACTCATTGCTTTAACAAAAAAGGCAATAAGAGCAACAAAAAAAGAAAAAAAATAGAAAAAATTAGCAGGAAGTTATTATGAGAACGAGAATTGATTACGCTAATAATGGAAGTATAAAGTATTTTGAATACTCGACCTCTAACGTAAATTTTGACCATTGTGTCATATTGCCCAACTGATTTTCTAAATGACGAATGCATCTCTAACTATGCCTAGTAATAAGGAGGATGAATTGGATAAGTTTATCCCTCATAAATTGAAACTTTTAAGAAAAAGTCATTCAGTATGTGTCGAATACTCTCGAAACCTTCTGGGGAATACGGAAAGACAATATTTGAATAGTCTTTAAGAAAAGACATAAAAAGCACATTCTTCTCCAAGAGATGTAGTAAGAAGAGCTTCCCATGAGGGAGAGATGGTGTATCAGAAATTCTTCGTGGCATGTGGAAACTAGCCAGAATGAAGGAAATTAAAAGAGAAAGGGATGAAGAAGTAAGAAGTGTCTTAACAGAATTACCACAAGGAAAAATTCTCAGACCGATGAATGTGCTGTAGCTACTGGAAATCAACGACGAGAAAAATTCGGATTCTCAACCAATAATATTCGACAAATCAATTCAAAGTGTCGATGAGCAAGGGCCTATCGTTCGACGTACTAGAAATACTATAAACCAACACATTCGAACAAAAGTACTCAACCAACCTTAAGACATCCAGCTCCTTCAGTTGGGAGTGTCGCAAAACTCGAAATAATCTCGCGAGACTCCAAATAACTTACAAAATATATCAAATTAAATTGTATTAATCCATAATACTAAAATCACTCTTAATTGAATATTAAAAATGTAAAACTTATTAAGATTATACATCATGTAAGCAGTCATTATTCCAACACTCATCATCCTATTGTAACTAAGCTTATCTGCTTGTCTAGAAATTTTCAACTGTTAACGACGAGCATGTGCACTGTTTAATATGTTAAAAACTACTCCTTTGTTCCAAATTAAATTTGCTTCCAGTGCCGAAATATTGTAAAGTTTTCTAAGCTAGTAGTCATTCCTTGAGAAGCTACAAAATTAAAACCCATCTCTGACTATATAAAGAATAAAGACCATATAAAGACTCCTTACTCAATAATCATGCTCTTATTGCAAGTCAGTGCTCATTATTTAAATCCTTTGTCTCAATCAGTTTTATCAATTTTTTCCTTACCAGTAAGCTACAGTTCGGTTGCTCTCTCTTATTCCATTAAATTCCTCATCAAGTCATCCATTTTCTTCATCTAAGGAGAGTAAAAACATCGATAATTTATAATTCTAATGATATCAAAAATGTAAACGTGTATTGTGTTTGAAGGATTATAACCTAAATTTATGGCCACACAAAAGACGACAGCTGTGCAACTTCATGCCTAAGAGAGCATACACTGCTGTATAACGAACGAAGGATAAATAAAGTGCTAAAGACTTGGTCATATGGGAAGAGAAGATGCCCATACCTCTTCAATTCACGTAAGAGAAATGTACTTTGAAAAGGATACGAGGTATTGATCATTTCTCTTTACTCAATGCTTATAATTGTTGGAGAGATATCAATTATTGTCCCAGTAGTTAAGATCTAACAGGTGTTTTTTTATATCTACTGATCTCAATACTTCAATTCAGGACAGACATTTCAGAATTAAATTTAAAATGCATGGAGAATTTCTTTAATATAGAAAGAAAAAAAAAAGGTTTCAGCGATCAACTGGAAACTTATTGGAAAAGATTGAAAAAGCCAGATTTGTGTTTAGGGTTTTATGACAAATATTTTATATCTGATTAATTCAGTTCAAATTGGTTCCCAAGTTGCAGTTTTATAAACACTCATAAAATTATTTTTTAGTTTAAATTTTATACACTTTAGCTACCGAAAGTTTTGAATTGCTTTATCAGGAGGAGATCTAACATTATTTATAAGAGAAAAACGTAACAATGAGTATCGATTTTCTTTGAATAGTCATGTGAAGGAAGTACTTTCGTATATCTGTAAACAATTTTTTTCTGGTATTAGACATATTTAGTGCAGTTGTATGCAATTTTTAAATTTCGATTATTAATTTGATAGCAGTTCGAAAAACAGTCACTCAGAATATTTCTACAACTGCACTAAGATAATAGCGAACAATGAGCAACATAAAAATATTAAACACAAGAATACAGATTAAAGCAAGAATACAGTACACATTCATACACATTCATTCCTTTTTACCCGAAGAAACTCCACAGGGGGTGATGATCTATTTCGTTTCTTTTCACATCTAAACAATTTATAGGCAAGCCTCAAAATTTTGCATGACTTTCAAAAAATTGACTGATTCAAAAATTTCAAATCAAGATTTAAGATCGCAGTTTTCGTTACATTATGATTATTAAAAAACAAAAAATTATCCACATTTTACAATCAATCAAATTATTAGTGGTGGGATCCACATAAAAAAAGAAAATCTGTTCATAACTTGCAAAGACTTACAAATGATTTGGCAATATTGAATGCGCAAAACTACTATTTTGTGATATAAAGTCAGAAATTTAGCAATTAC